CAGGGGGCGGGGCTGGCTGGCATGTGGTGCTGGGGGATTGAACCGCGGTCCCTGATGCTTTGCCAAGCTTGTTCTAAGTAGGTGCTTCAGACCACTGAGCCATCTCTCCAGCCCAGAAATGTTTTTAAAAGTGTGGAAAAATTTTATAAGAGTGTGGGGCTTATAAAGCCTTAAAAATATAAATACTAAAATAAATATAATATCGCTACTTCGCTAATTTTCACTTATCGCAGGGGTGTGTGGAATGTACCCTCTGTGATAAAACAAGGGACCACTGCAGTTTGAACAAACTGTTAATGGAAGATGGACTATAGCCATAGAAAATCATAGCCTTCCTGGGCATGGTGGTGCATGCCTGTAATCCCAGTACTCACAAGGCTACGGCAGAAGGACTACCATGTGCTGAAGGTCAGCCTGTGCTACACAGCAAGCTCACAGCCAGCCTGGATACATACTCTGTCTCAACAGGTGCTAGAGTTAAAAGCTAAACAACAGTTCCCAAGGAAGAAAAAGTTCATAAAACACTGATGGTGTATGTTTTATATTAACCGAAATGCACAATGAACGATGCTTACATACATATAGCTGTTTCTTTCATGACTTCATATTGAACTAAAGCACATGAAGAAACGTAAGTCATGGCCTGCACCTAGTCTCAGCCACTTGGAAGGCTGCGATTGGAGGACTGCTTGATAATCTTAAGCGTTAGAAACTACTTAGGGCAACACAGTGAGACTATGTCTTAATAACAACAAAACAAGCAAAAAACAAAATAAAGAAATAGGATGGCAGATTTAAGACTATTTGGCAAAATAAGGCATTTCTGTATCTTCTAAATGGCTTATAATAATTAACTTACAATAACCCCATAAGTAATAAAAATGCTAATTAATATTATCCACTCTTATCTCAATTTCTTTACCTATAAAATGACCTAACATCACTAAACTAAATATTTAGGCTATTTGTATCAACTGTAATTTTCTTTTAAAATGTTTAGCTTTTTTTTTTTAAATTTTATTTATTTATGTGGGGGGGCAGCTCAGCCCACCAGAGGGTGGGGTTGGCTGGCATGTGGTGCTGGGGATTAAACCGGGGTCCCTGTGCTTTGTTAAGCTTGTTCTAAGTAGGTGCTTTAGACCACTGAGCCATCTCACCAGCCCTGTTTAGCTTTGATAGTAACAAATTTTATGCTATTTTATGTGCCTGGAGTAATGATTATGAATTATTTATTTTACTTTTCTTTCAGAACCGGGGATTGAACTCAGATCCTCGCATTTGCCAGTCAAGCGCTTATCCTACTGAGCCATCTCCCCGGCCCCTTATTTTATTATTTAAAGCAGTATGTTCAGAGCTAAGGCAGGGAGCCTAGAGTCAATGTCTTTTCCATTTAATTTGTTGTGTTATTTTCTACCCTTGGAGGCAGGCACTGCTATTCTTTTTTTTTGTCTTTTTTTTTTGTGGAACCAGGGATTGAACTCAGGCCCTTGAGCTTGCCAGGGAAGAGCTTATTCCACTGGGCCATCTCCCCATTCCCACTGCTGATTCTTGCTGTAAATTCTAGGGCTAAATAAATGGACATCTTAGCTAAGGCACAATTTAACTATGTGCTTGGGAGTGGAACAGTTACATGTGTTTACTCCTTTGTCTACTTGTCCCCCCCCATTAAATCAGACAAATGACTGTGTGGCTCCATCTTGCCTGAGGTCAGGGGTACTCACCAGGATAGCCTTCAAGCCCATAGGCTTGCCACTTGCTGACTGGCTTAAGTCCTGCTCGATGTGCATTGTGCTCGCTGACAGAGGACACACTCAACTGCGATCTGACCACCTGGAAGGAAGGAAACACAAGTCAAAAGGATAAAGCTATTTTCAGTCAGCCTGTGGAACCTGAACCTCAGAAGACATTTTTGAAGTGAAACTGTGTCATAAGTTGGGGATTTTAGTCTTAGCTCTATCACTTATTCAAAGTGGGAGTTTAATTTTATATTTATTTATTTTTGTGTTTTAGGCAAGGGTCTACAGGGTGTTCAGGGTCTCTCTACTAGACTGGACTCATAGCGATGTGCCTGTTTACAGCCTCCCAAGAGCTGGGATTACAGGCATGTGCCACCACACCCAGTCTCAATTGCCATCTCAGCGTGCCCTGGGGGCAGGGCTGGCATGGCAGGTCTACGGATCTAACCCCAGTCCCTGTGCCTGCTTGCAGGAGCTTTAATCCGCCGAGCTATTTTCAAACTGGGAGTTTTAGATGAGTAATTTAACTCTCTAGAGGTTTAGTTTCTTCATTTATATATTAACAAGTACTAAAAGTTATACAAAGTAAATCATAAGAGGAAAATTAACAAAAAGGTGGTTTGGCTTTCAACACTACTGTTTTTCTTTTCTTTTTTTGAAACAGGGTCTCACTATGCAGTGTAGACCAGCCATGAACTTACTATGTAGTACAGGCTGGCCTTGAACTTGTGGGGATCCTTTTGCCTCAATCTCCAAAGTGCTGGGACTACAGGTACATGACATCAATGCCTGGGAAATACTACTGTTTTCTATGAGACCACACCTTGGTAACAGGCTCATGAAAGGTATTTGGTACACTGGAATGTCCCAAGTCACAGTGCTATTTACTCAGGTTAGTGCACTGTTTCAGAGTGTACTAACTTATACATGGTCAATAGAGCTATAAGAAACAGTAGGCTGGGAAAGATGTTTTACTTTTTTTAGATGAAATGTTGATACTAGCATTTTGCATTTGGTAGTTACTTAGAAATAAAGTATTAGGGCTGATGAGGTTTGTTCTGCAGAACAGAGGCTCTAATGAATGGTTTTTCTCATGGGTTAAGACATCTAACATGCAGTTATTAAGAATGGGGCATTAAAGAAAAAAAAAAAAATCCTTCCATGAATACACTCAGAGGGGCCGGGGAGATGGCTCAGTAAAATAAGTGCTTTCCCGGGAAGCGCAAAGGCCTGAGTTCAATCCCTGATTCCACCAAAAAAACAAAACAAAACAAAAAAAACAAAACAAAAAAAACAAACCCAAAAACACCCAAACAAACAAAACACAAACTTAGACCTTGTTTTTTTTTTTTTTTTTGAGAGGGGCAGGTACTGTGGATTAAACTCAGGACCCTGTGCTTGCCAGGCAGGCACTTAAGCCTGCTAAGATATCTTCCCAGCCCCTGGCTTTTCTTTCTTTCTTTTTTTTAAAAAAATATGTTCAGTACCGGGTCTACAGGGTCTCACTACACAGATTGAATTTGTAGTGATCCTTCCGTTTTCCGCCTCCCAAGTGCTGGGATTACAGGCACGCACCACCACGCCCAGTCTCAAAGGCTGTCTCAGTGTACCCGGCGAAGGTGATAGCCACACCACAGAACCAGGAGCTGTAGTCTGCTGAGCTATCTGGTTGGCCCTTATGGCTTATAAATATACCAAGTGTTGTCTTCTAATAAAACGATGTTTCATCCTGTCAACTACTTCCTGCTACTTTTAAGCTGCTCTGAGCTGGGTAACTGCTGCACACTAAAGCTGTCTGACTCAACACACAGTGGTATTTTTGGGTACCACTGTGTTAGACATGATGTCCCATTCTCAAGTGGCTTATCTTCTAAAAACTATGTACAGTCACTAAACACACATAAATGCAGCTAGGTGAGGTTCTGAAGCCTTCCTCGGTCAAGGCTGCAGTCTTACATACTTTCTAAGTCAAATAAAGTTGCGAAGAAGTTGAGTTCTAGACAAGTACAGCTACATTACAACTTTACAGAGACATACACCTATCCTGTGGAAAGAATGCCTCATCCAGACCTCTGGGGACAACATGAAGGGCCTTTGGATTGCATGTTGTAAAGAACACATTACAGCGATTGTAAAAATAAATAAATAAATAAATAAATAAATAAATAAATGTAACTGCACCACGGCTGTGGTTCGCCCCATGCCACTTTTCCCCTACTGCGGTCCCTTTCTTAATTTTCAGGAGGAAAAGTAGAAGTAACAGGTGTTTGGATTTTACAACCTTTGACATTTACTTTCAATTTGGCGAGATTATTTCAGAATCTTTTAATGACCTTTTACTAAGAAGTATAGAGAAGTCTGGAACTAGTTTTAGGCATAAATGGAATTACGAATGTCGAATCTCTCTCAGTTGTGGGATTAGAGGCTTTTTGTTTGCTTCGAAACTTTACCTGAACGTCTATGCGGACGTTCTACGAGGTATTACACAAGACAAAGTACAACTGCACACGGATAAAGGGAGGAAAAGAACACCGAACTCCTGGGCTTTCGGGCTGAGGTCGCGGCGGGGAACGGCGGCGTGGAGAAACCTCAGCACAGCGCTCCGTCCCGGAGCTGTGACGCCCGCGGGTAGTGCCACCGCGCGCAGGAAGGGGGTCGCCCCGGCGGGGAGGCGCTGCAGCACGTCGTCCGTACCTTTTGGGTCGCAGGGCCCGTGCTGTGGCCTGCTTGGGCCGCCGAGAAGTCGATGACCCCTCCTAGGTCTGCCGTCCCGGGCCGGCTCTGCCGGTAGAAGCGGAAAAGTTTCCGAAAGGCGTCCTCGCCAGGTTCGGTCGCCAGCGTAGCCACAGAAGTCAGAGCCGCCGCCATCTTCCCCATCGCGCCGCCTAGGCCCTCTGACCCGGAAGCAGATTCCCTGGGAGCCGGCAAGTTCTTCCGGGGTCACCGTTCCGGGTCGCCCAGAGTTCAGGTTAAACATGGCTGCCTCCGTCGCGAGGGGAGCCTTGGCTCTGCGTGCGGGTGTTAACCGGCCGGTTGCTTTTGTCAGGAAAATTCCCTGGACTGCGGCGACGAGTGAGTGATGGTGACGTTCGAGGGGCGAAATTCCTGAGTCCAAGCAATCGGCAAAACTGCCGCAGAGGCGTCGCGTGGTGGCAGGATTGGAAGGCTGGATTTGCCCATTAGCGAGCCATTGTGCAGAGATTGGGTTTGTGATGGGCTGTTCGGAAATGCCGCGGTGCTTGTAGGGCACAGGTTTACGGCTCCCTACAATTTAGAGTGATTTGGTGGAAAGGATTATTACTTGCTAATTTTGAGATTTAGGGTCCAAGTGGCAAGATTTTACGTGGGGGCGAGACATAAGGTGATTTCATTTAGTTCAGGATGAGGACCAGCTAGGGGTGTAGTTTAGTGGAAGAGCAGTCGCCTGTCATGTGTAAGGCCCCGAGTTGAGCCCCTTTCCCCATCCCTGGATGAGGGTCTGACCTAAGGAAGTGGAAAAGCATTTAATAGTTTTTCAGCTATTTTAATAGTTGTAGAACGGGCCGGTCAAATAGCTCAGTAGATTAAAGTTTAGGCAGATGTTTTTTAATTTTATTTATTTATTTATTTATTTGCCAAATAAATAAAGTTTAGGCAGAAGTGTTGGCCCTGCCCCCTGGGCGCTGTGAGATGTTGATTGAGACTGGGCGTGGTGGGCCGACCCTGTAATCCCAGCATTTGGAAGGCTGTAAACTAGAGGATCACTACTAGTCCAATGTCCATAGTGAGACCTTGTACTAAATACAAATAGTTGTATAACCTGAGTAACTGAAGCTATGGAAAAGAGGCTCACAACTGTACCTCAATTTATCAAAAAAAAAAAAATAGGCAATAATATCTACCTACTTTGTAGGGCTGAGGAGCATAGTAGACAAGTTTATGCATAAATGTGTTAGATTTGTGCCAGTGTGAGCACTCAGTGAATGCTAATTATTTTCATGATCATTAAATGGAAGCTCATGGCAGAGACCTAGTTTGGAGATAGTGTTGGAGTAATTCTGTAGTCTTTTACCAACTTTTCGTCATTTGGGGTTTTGCGTTTGCTTATTACAATTTAAAAACCTATGGTCACTTTTTGGAGTTAGGTAAAGATCACTTCCTATTTCATACTTAAGGTTTCAGAGATTTCAGTCTGTCGTTGCTTGGCCCTGTTGCTTTGGACCTGTTGTAGCATAATGGTGGTGGGGCTGCATGAAGAAGCAGAAAGAGATAGACAAGGCCCACCACTTAAGGGTTCTACCACCTCCCAGTAACACCAGACTTTTACTTAGCCAGTGTTGTTATTCTGTAACACGCTGTAGATATAGTAGTTTCTATACAGTTTAGAGTATAGTGGTGGGTGGGACTTAAAACCAATACATGTACGTAATTTAGAATGAAGTTCAGATGAAATAGGAAATGCAAGACGAGTGATAGAAAAAATGTAAACCAGCAAACTACAGCTGTAGTTCAGAACGAAAGAGATGATGTAATTTTTTTTTTTTTTTTTTATCTTTAGGATTATATACTCTAACCTTTATTGTAGTATAGAATTGTAAACAGATCTCATAGGTGTGGTCCATTCTTATATTGTTGTAGAAGCCCAATAAAGGAATATTCAGTAAATGTATTTGGCTTCAGTGTGGAAGGATAGTTACTATTTAGGTAGAAAGGAAGACTTACACATCAAAAAAACCAACATGTGCAAAGTTGGGATCGCACATGGTAGGATACAGAAAATTCATTGCGCTATACTGGAGAGTAACCATGGGCTGGCAGGAAATAAGGATGAAAGGGTAAGTGGGATTAACTCCAGACATTCCCCCACCCCCAATGGGGGATTGAACTCAGGCCCTTGCACTTGACAGGCAAGCGTTTATTCTACTGAGCTATCTCCCTAGCCCCTCAACACATTTTAGAGCATCAACTGTCTAAGTGCAAATTTAGGAAAGCCTAGAAAGTTGAGGTGTTCTTTGGAAATCTTCAGTTAATTGGCAATTACCTGGATTGTCTTGGTGATTTTGTATGATCTACTGACAAGGTTTTTAATGCGCACACTTAACAATACCTGGTATAATGAAAACGCTCAGCAGTTGCTGAGTATGGAGACTGTAGCCATTACAGCAGTTCATTTGCCTATGTCCTTATCCCCACAAAGCGTATTGCAGCAATATAGTCATTCCTGCTACTGCTTGCTGAATCATAAGGTTAAGGGAATGCAAAGTAATTTCTGTCCCCAAAAAATCTGGGGACTCTAGGACCCTGATAGTTGCTAAAACAAAATATATTAACTACCTTTAATGTATTGTCTCTCCTCCTACAGATGAGCTGAAAGAATACTTTGCTCAGTTTGGCCATGTACGAAAGTGCATTGTACCTTTTGTAAGTATTAAAAAAACTATTGGTGTAGTGCAGTGATAGAGCACTTGCCTACCATGTGTGGTGAGGCCCTAGGTTAGATCCCCAGTACTACAAAAAAAAAAATCTTCTAATTGATTTGTTTAAAAAATCAAAGCATATCAGCTTGTCAAATGAAGCTATTAAAGTCTGATAAAATTATGAATAAAACATAAGTTTATAGGTTTTCATGTTAGTTTAAAAACGGTTTTTGGGTGCGGGGTGGGGAGATAACTAAGCAGGCATAAATGCCTGCCTGGCAAGCACAAGGTCCTGAGTTTGATCTCTGTACTGGAAAAAAAGAAAAAAAAATTTTTTTGAAACAGGATCTTACTGTGTAGTTATGGCTGGTCTTAAACTCACTCAGAGGTAATCACCATGTCTCAGCCTCCTGAGTGCTGGGACTATAGGCAAGAACCACCACAGCTGGCAAAATCTGAATTTTTTGGAGGTATTTGGGGGTTTTTTTTGTACTAGGAATGGAATTCAGAACCTTTCTCTTGCTAGGCAGGTGCTTGTGCTTTTGAGCTATTCTTCAAATTAAACAAGTTTTTTCATGGTGGTCATCTAAAAGTGAAAATGAAATGCTTTAGGACCTGAAAAGATCTTAATATTTGTTGTTAAAAATAAAAATGTAAGGACTGGGGAGTTAGCTCAGTGGCATAAGTTCCTGCCTGGAAAACTAAAAATGTAATATATTAATTTCAAGTTAATTTACTAAATTTGGAAATCATGTCTATAATTTTATTTATATATTTTTCACATTCAATTATTCTTTTACTTATTTATTGGTGGGACCGGGTATTGAACTCAGGCCCTTACGCTTGCCAGGGATGTCTATAATTTTAGAAATATATAAATTCCTTTTTGGGATAGGGTCTCTCCATGTAGTTCAGGCTACCCTTAAATTCATCGTAGTCTTTGTGCCTCAGGACTACTCCCACCACACATGGCTGTATTTACTGTGTAAATAGTAACACAACTTTAATACCTGTGGAAATGATTACATGGAGGTATTTATCTTATTGGTACACTGGAAATTTCATGTGTTCTAGGTTAATTGTAACCTTAAGTCTAAACTGAGCAGTATCTAAAATAGTGTTTTTGAAGGTGTAACTTTGTAATGAGACTTAGAGGACGACCAGGAGTTCATCTTCATTAAATAGGCATGCCAGTATGTTTTTTATTGGAATGCTGTAGGGCAGGGCAAGGTGTTTTCTTAAGACATTAGAATGTCTTATGTGACTCACAGGTTGAATAAGCACTTTGAACAAGTAGCAAGTGTTTAACCAGAAGTTTGGAACCATGTAAAGTAGAATTTCTTGTCCACTTTTTATTAGTAACATGTAATGGTAAAAGTATAGGTGATGACATTGGTCTCAGAAGTGACTAGGTATAACTAGGTCAAGGCTTTTCAAATTGCTAGGAATTAGAAAGTTATAAACAAATGTCAGTGACCACAATTTATTCCTTGATTACTATTAGTGTGGTTTGATCTCGATTGTGGAAGTTATTAACATGCAATGTAAACTTTGTTCACTAAATATGTACTTTAAGTGAGGGTTACTGACATGTCTGCAATAGTTTTAGCAAAGTTGGTAGTTTGATTTGGAGCTTATGTAAACTGCCTTAAGTTCATGATTGTTTCCCTTTATATTTTGTATTTTTAGAACAGAGAGACTGGCTTTCATAGAGGTTTGGGTTGGGTTCAGTTTTCTTCAGAAGAAGAGCTGCAGAATGCAATCCAACATGAAAATCACATAATTGATGGAGTGAAAGTAAGTCTGTTTCCAAATTTTATCACTTTCCATGTACCAAATAGGTCAGAGTTAATGAAATGACAGGGACAAAAACTTATGCCTGACAAGTTTAATACTTGTCACTACCACCACCAATCTTTAACACACAGTAAAGAAACTTGGAGGCTCAGGCAGAAGCATCAAGCCAGGATGGCATACACAGTGGGTTCGAGGCTCACATTATCTCGTTCCAGATTGACCTAGAATTTTTAATCAAAGTTCAAGGATAACCCATTACTATTGTGGACTGCTGGACTGTGTTGGATTGTTTTGCTGAATTTATGCACCTATAGTATTTAGATGCCAATGGAATACCCATCTATTGACAGGACTAAACAAAAAAAGGATACAAAGGAAGGACCATTTTGTATCTGTACATACAGAATAGTTAGGATAAATATACAGCTACTTTCGCTTAATTCAATGAGAAGATTTGTACTAAATAGTGTTTGGACCAGGATATCCTGTGTGCATCTTATACTATGGAGAAGCACTAAGATAACAATGTATAATGTATAAATTATTGAAACTGTCCTATTACTCAGTTTTGAAACTGTCTCATTGCTGTTTCTCAATAAAATAAAAAGAAAAAACAAAGTTCAAGGAGCCTTAAGAGCAAAAAACTACTAAAAACTGCTTGTGTAATTGGTGCTGAATCTTGATTTTTCTTTTAATATTTTTGTGACCATTGCTTTTCCTTATAGTACCTTTTTTTTTTTTATTTAAGGTCCATGTTCAGGTTCGAAGACCAAAGAATTTGCAAGGGGATCAAACATCTGATGAAGAGAAAGATTTCTGAGATGATTATTACCCATTAAATAAACACAAAACATAATTTTGTCTAAATGCTTTTATTTAAAACAAGTAGTTGCAGTAAGCAAGATCTTACTTTCCCCACTCCAAAGAAAAACAGGACAACAGACTTCATTTGATAGTTTCCAATAATGTGAATTGTGGTTGGGGTAACATTTATATGCAATTGTTCTTACACAAAATATTACCCCAGACTACTTGTGTCACACAAAAAGAAGTGGTCTCAATTCCGTGTGTGGGGTAGCATGTTCTCTAGGTGCTGAAAAGGTGGGAGAAGCACAAACACAACCCACTCTTTTAAAAAACTAAATTCAAAGTAGAATTTTCAATTCCCCCATCTCCTGTAATAAAAAGTAGTGCTGGGATCTAGCACCCAGATTTGGTTTTGTCCTGATCATTTACAAAGAGTCCCCCTATGACTTGCATCATTAGGGTTATGAGTAATAGTTCACTTTGAAGACAGCTGGATTTATTCTTTCCTCCTCTTCTTGCCTTCATGCTCATGTTCCTTGGGGCGGCTGCTATCTGAGGGTCTTTTAGAGCCACCATGCTGTTTGGCTTCTTCCAAAAATTTGTCCAGACCAAAAGGATCTTCTTCAAACTGAACAGGTCCTTCTCGGCCTCTCTTACGGTCAGAACCAGAAAATTCCTTGTCAGGAACAAATCTAGGAAACAAGAGAAAGGACTATGAAACAGCTTTGTTTTACTGGTATAAAATAAAGCACTGAAACTGAACTGTGCCTTGGTACCTGTTCGTTTTTATTCTGGCTTCTAGGTCATCACCGTACATATCCTTGTCCAGATTTTTACTGGGCCTATAAATACTTTGGGCCATATCTTTACCACCTCTCCAGGCTTGATCATAAACATTGTAAATTTCATCTTCTCCACCAGCAAATCCACTGTCCATACCCTGTGGGAAAATGAATGACATGAAATTAAATACAATACATACAGACTTTTTTTTTTTTTGGAACCAGGGATTGAACTCGGATCCTTGAGTTTGCCAGTCAAGCGCTTATCCTACTGAGCCATCTCCCCGGCCCCCATATAGACTATTAAAAGTGGAATTTGGTTCTTCACATGAAAAATATGCACTTGCTCATTTATTTATTTTAACACTGTATTTTTTTTTTTTCTTTATTCGTGTGTGTGTGGCCAGCTCAGCCCACCAGGGGGTGGGCTGGTTGGCATGTGGTGGCTGGGGGATTGAACCGTAGTCCCTGGGCTTTACTAAGCTTGTTCTAAGTAGGCGCTTTAGACCACTGAGCCATCTCACCAGCCCCGGCTCATTTATAATATAGTTCACATCTTCAAAGATCAACTACAAATTTTAGGGAGGTCATCATTAAAAACTTCTCAAATGTAACATAAGCTTAATGTTTGGCTTTTTTTTTTTACCCACACCCATGACTCAAGGTATTCATTTAAAAAATTGGAGTACTTTAACAAATTAATCATTAAAATTGAGGGATCTATTATGTTTCTTGACAATTTCAATTTTTATGGGCAGTGGCAAGAAGAGCCAAATATCCTTTAACAATCTACAATATCAATCTTAGAGCACAAGGCAATAAGGTTCACAGTGAAAATCTATGTAGATTGTCAGGTGATCTGCAAATGATGATTTAACTTCCTCACCTATTCTTACTCCTTTTTTTTTTTTCTTTTGTCTAATGCTCTGGCTAAAGTTCCCAGAATGAAGGGGCTGGGGAGATAGCACAGTAGAGTAAGTGCTTGCCTGGCAAGCTCAAGGGCCTGAGTTCAAGCCCCAGTTCCAATAATAGTTTCCAGAATTAAATTGAATATGAGTGGAGACAGCTCAAGGGCCTAAGTTCAATCCCTAGTTCCAATAATAATAGTTTCCAGAATTAAATTGAATATGAGTGGAGCAGTGGATATCCTTGTCTAGTTTAGATTTTACCGTTAAAGCTTTCATTTTCCATTTAGTATGATGGCTGTAGGTTTGTCATAGATGGCTTTCATCAGATTGAGATAAAGAGCATACATTCCAATTTTCTGTACAGTTTTTTTTTTTTATCATGAATGGATGCTAGACTTTGTCAAAACCTTTTTTGCATCTATTGAGATGATCATTATGACTTTTGTCCTTAGTTCTCTTAATATGGTGCATTGTATTTATAGACTTACACATGTTGAACCCTACATTCCCGGGATGAATCCCACTTGCTCATGAAGTATAACTGTCTTGATTTGCATCATACTGTTTGCCATTATTGAGGATTTTTGCATTTATGTTTCTTAGGGAGGAGACTGGCCTGTAATTCTCTTAGTTGGGTCCTTCTCTGGTTTTGGTTATCAGGGAAATGCTTGCTTCCAAAATGAATTTGGGAGTACTGCTTCTCTTTCAATTTCATAAAAGAGCTTGAGAAATAGTGGTATTATGTATTTAAATTTCTTGTAGAATTCAGCAGTGAATCCACCAGGGCCTGCATTTTTTTTGCTGGCAGGTTTTGAATTACATCTTCCACTTCATTGATAGTGGTTTATCTAGGATTTTTATATCTTGATTCGGCTGTGCTAATTCATATGTATTTGAGATTCTATTTCTTCTGTATTTTCTACTTTATAAGAATGTAAGTTTTCAAAGTATGTAGATGATCTTTTGGATTTCTACAGGGGCCACTGTGATTTCAGTCTTTTTTAATTGTGTGGATCTGAGTCCTCTTTTTTGATAAAATTGTATAAGGGTTTGTCAATTTAATCTTTCAAAGAACCAACTCTGATACACTGATGCTTTGTATTGCTTTTTAAGTCTCCAAAGCATTAATTTTTGCTCTGATCTTTATAGTTTCTTCCCTTGAACAAGCTTTTGGCTCAGCCTGTTTTCTTTCTCAAAGTTTGAGGTTCAATATTAAGTTATGTATTTGCATTTGCTGTTTTCCTGATATAGGTATTTACTGCTATAAATTTCCCTCTTAGCACTGCTTTCATTGTGTCCCATAAGTTCTGGTATGTTGTATTGTCCTTATTTTTTTAAAATTTTTTTTAGTGAAACTGGGGATTGAATTCAGGCTCTTACGCTTGCCAGGGAAGCACTTATTCCACTGAGCCATCTCCCCGGCCCCTGTCATTATTTAACTGTAGAAACTGTTCAGTTTCTTTCTGTAATTTTATCTGTGACTCACTCATGGTTCAGGAGGGTGCTATTTAATTTCCATATGTTTATGCAGTTCTTATGGTTTCTTTTGCTATTGATTTCCAATTTCATCGCACTATGGTCTGATATGTATTAAAATGAAATGCTTAAAATTTTTACATGCTATGTTTATAAATAAAGTATTTCACAAAAACCTCCTGTAGTAGTTTCTATCTAAGACGTTCCCTGAAAGCCTCATGCTCTCATAGGTGGGGCTTCTGCGAGTTGACTGGATTATGGGGATGTGGTACTTAGCAGTATATTGGTCCACTGATGAGTTTATAGCTACATGTGAGGTTGGGAGGAGGTAGGGTACTGGGGCCAGTTTAGAAAGGCATATACTTCTCCTTCCTCTTTTAATTGCTCTCTTTGCTACCTGCCACATCATGAGTTCTCCTTTGCCATGGTCCTCTGCCACCTTGCCTTGGGGCCAATTTAGTACGGACTGAAACCCTTACAAACAGTAGAAATAAACTTTTTCTTCTTAGATGTGACTGTCAGGTATGGAGTCTTGGCAATGAGAAAACGTGTAAATAACTGGATTGCGGAGGCATTACACTCATCAGTGGCTTAGTCCATTAATGAATTCGTAGCTGTCCTGGTATTATGGAGATGGGGCCTGGTTACAGGCCAGTTACTGGGGGCATGGACCTAGAAAGGTACTATCTTCCCCGTTGGCTCTTGTCGTTTTTCTGCTTCCAGGCTGTTATGAGCCGAGTACCTTTCCTTCCATCATGCCCCTTTGCCATCTTATTTCTTCTGTCTCGTGGCCAGCTGACCATGGACCAAAAAAACCATGAGCAAAATGAACTTTTTCTAAATAAGTTTTGGGTATTGGGTAATTGACTAAAATAAGGTAACTTTTAAATGTTTTAAATTTCTTTTTTTTTTTGGCGGAACCGGGGATTGAACTCAGGGCTTGCACTTGCCAGGGAAGTGCTTATTCCACTGAGCCATCTCCCCAGCCCCTTAAATTTCTAACAGATTAAAAATAAAAAAAATATTCACTTATGTGGAACTTTCAACCCTAATTTTATTTGTTAAGGCTGATAAACCACCACTGGGGTCAAAACATTCAAGTGTGAATCATAATTTCATCAGTTACTGAATGTCTCATTTTGACTACATAGTTTTAAGGGTTGAGATAATATAAAACTTAGGATACCAGGAATATAAAAAGCAATTAATAAATTTCTTAGGGCATATTAAAATTATATTTTCAAATCTTCTAAAACTCTCCAAGTTATAATTAATTTTCCCCTTCTATCACAGTACAATTGACACCTATATTCCTTGTCTTTATATATACCCTGTCTTTATATATTTATGTTTTGATGGCAAAGTTGGATTCATTTTCGATCTACTTCCTTATATATCTTTTTTTAAAAAAATATTTATTTATTTATTTATTTATTTATTTATTTATTTATTTGTGTGTGTGGCCAGCTCAGCCCACCAGGGGGCGGGGCTGGCTGGCATGTGGTGCTGGGGGATTGAACCGCAGTCCCTTGTGCTTTGCTGAGCTTGTTCTAAGTAGGTGCTTTAGACCACTGAGCCATCTCACCAGCCCTTCCTTATATATCTTAATCAACATTAGGTTTATGAAAATGTGTTCTAGCTGGTTAATAATAAGCAGTACTAAAGGGTTGGCCAAATAGCTCAGCAGATTAAAGTGTCTTGGATTTGATCGCCAGATCTGCTGTGCCGGCCCCGCCCCCAGGGCACGCTGAGATGGCAACTGAGACTGGGTGTGGTGGCACACACCTGTAATCCCAGCTCTTGAGAGGCTGAAAACAGGAGAATCAAAAGTCTGATCTAATAGTGAGACCCTGAACACCCTGTAGACCCTTCCCTAAAATACAAAAAAAAACAACAAAAAGAACCAGTAGTAGACATCAGATTTTCTGACACTTAGCTAGGTA